TTGCCTCTTTTCCTGCTACCTGTTAGGTATTTCAATTTGGTTGTGGAATTCAACTCCGGCCTCTACAAATCATTCTTGCTTTCCTCATTTTTGTTAAGGGTAATATCATTCTTCTAGTGTGAAAATTTCTCACAATAAAAGTCACATTCCTTTTCTTTTTTTCTCCCATGCCTTCTAATCAGACAAAGCTCTAAATTCTCCTAATTTTCACTTTATAATATCTTACTTCTTTTCCCTTTAGCACCACCTTAATTCTGCACCAATAGCCTGAATCCTGGTGGTCATTTCAATGAGAAATAGATTGGTCTAGCTAAGAAAATAATTTCCACATAATTTTATGCTCTGTATCTTTTTACATGCTCCCCATAGAATGGTTCCTGATAGAATATATATTACAATTTACTTGGTTATTGTAAGTCTTACAACTCTAATTCTAGACTTGGCTCCTTTCAGCTTGCCTATTAATAACTTGCAGTCAGTTTTGGATGATTTAGATGCATTCACCCCTATCACAGACAGAAGATAAGAACTCTATATTATGTTTGGCCTCTATAGATAGCTGATCCCGGTAAAAGAACTTTGCTAAAATTGTCAATTATCATCTTGGCAGATACCTGATACCAATTCTATCGTATTATCCTGCAGGTCCATTTTGCAACTAATTTATCTTGAAAGATTCAACAAGGAGTAAAATTGCTTATCATAGATGCCCCATGAGCATTTCATTAACTCCTCCCCACACCCCGCTCACCATGGCTACACTAGCCGGCCATTGGGGACATCAACCTTAAAATTTTCCCATGTTAAAATTGCAGCTAAGCCGTAATAACGGGGCCTAAATTATCTGTGAATCTATATGCTGAAGTAGAATTAAATTGTATGATGAACTTAACTATCAAAAAGCATTTCCTGCTAAAACCGGTTTGGCTCAGTGGATAGAGTGTCGGCCTTCAGACTGGAGGGTCCTGGGTTCGATTCTGGTCAAGGGCATGTACCTTGGTTGCAGGTACATCCCCAGTAGGTGGTGTGCAGGAGGCAGCTGATGGACGTTTCCAACTCTCTATCCTCTCCCTTCCTCTCTGCAAAAATCAATAAAATATATTTAAAAATAAAAATAAAAATATGCAATTCAGGGGTTAAGGGATTGAGCTAAAAAGAGAGAACTCAAGGACATGGACAACAGTGTGGTGATGGTGGGGGTGGAAGAGTGCATAGAGGGAATAAATGGTGATGGGAAAAAAACATTGAAAAAAATGCAATCCATTAGTTTTTCCAGGTATGTTAACTTTAGCCTCAGAGGAAGCCAGGTCATCAGAGAGCTATATAACTGGTCTCTAGCGTAAATTTCCAATAAACTGCCATTTGTGTAAATGTCATTATTTACCATGAATCTATAAGAAAATGACTTCAATTCATGATTATATACATTTATTTACAGCTACAAATTATTCAGTTCTTATTCTGTCAGGCATCATGATAAGTGCTATCAGTGTATCATTTAAATTTAATCATCCCAACCATCTCTTGGGAGTAAATAGTATCCCCATTTTATGGTCAGGATACTGAAGTTCAGACAGGATACATGGTTCAGAATTGGCAGTATTAGGATTCAAATCCAGGTTTATCTGATTTTTAAATCTGGTGGCCTTACCCACCAGGAAAGCTACTGGGAATTTTCCCATTATATCACACTATACAACCTAAAGCATCTTTGCCAAGCATTTATTTTTAATTTTATTCTGGTTTTATCCTATATATATATTTTTTATCACTTCACTGGTATTTTCAACTATTTACTTTTATATCATTATAATGACATATTTTTAATAAACTGCTTAAGATCCTTTTGGATTTATTTTCCATTGAGGTATACTAAAGAAAAAGAAATTAAAAAGCCCGTCTGAAATCCTGTAATTATTACTTTTATTTAATGTTGGCTGGATTTTTCTTGTGTTTCCTTGCCTTTATTAAATTTTCAGGTTTATGTGTACACACTGCTTAATAACTGAGGAAAGCTTTGTATTTTCCACTGTCCTCTGGTGCTTGTAAACACAATGAGTACATTTTACCCTAGGTTTGCACAGTCAACACTGTATATTAGCCTTCATATACACAATCAGATGTTTGAGGAAAGGGAGTTTGAAACAGTGAAAAGTTTATAATAAAAGCTATTGTGAACATTCCATTAGTTCGCTCCCGCTTTGAGGGAACAGGCTATGACACCATTTACAGAATCAACCAAGTCTACTCATTGTGCCCTGTAAGCAGATCTTTTACTGTCCATAAGATTCTGTTCTAAAATCCTATTAGGCATTTGCCTACAAGTGATTTCCTCATGAATCACACTTGTAACTTTTAGTTCTTCTTCTGTACCAGGCTGTCTTTTCTAGATGGCCCAAGGTCCTCTGTGTTTCTGATGAGCTGATGTCAGCTAGCCAAGGAGAACATTCTGTCTCCCTGGTTTCAAGTGGTTTTCTTGGTAACGCTGAGTGTGGGCCAACAAGGAACACTGGTTTTCCCACTACCTGCTCCCTTGGCTCTGTATGGTGATTTGGTGTCTAGTTTTTTGAGTTCATCCCAGTTGTTCACTGTAGCCACGCTTTTGCTGCCAAATTAAATTCTTGCTTTGTTTTGCTGCCCCTTATCAAAGAACTCATCTCACACTGTCCCACCTTCGCCCTTGAGAAGTGCTCTGCTCTGGCAGCCCTGACACTAACAGGTTTAGAGTTTAATTAGCCGAGATACAGAAACTGTTTCCCACTTAAATTCCCAGATAGCAATTTGGCAAAATGAGATCTGCTAGAGTTAGGGTAAAGGTGGAGAAGAACAAATTAGGGATCATTTCATGCTAGTTGGTATTGTTACGTGAGGGCGGTCAATGTTTCACTTCCCTATTTTTAGATTCAAATTGTTAGTGCAGCTAAAGTAGGAACAAGTGCTATAGAAATAAAGAGAAATTACATAAAAATTCTTAGAAAATTTTTTATTTCAAATTATGCACACATAAAAAAAGGCTAGAGAAAATATTTATTTGCTTGCTTTTTACATCTTACTCTTTCAAATAAGGTGTTTTTCTCATTATAAAGTGACTAGAGGCCTAGTGCATGAAATTCGTGCACTTGAGAGGTCCCTTAGCCCAACCTACACCCTCTCACAGAGGAACAGGCCTAAGATGGCAATCAGACATCCTTAGTGCTGCTGTGGAGGCAGAAGCTCCCAGCAGTGAGCTTGGCTTCTGAGAGAACACACTGACCACCAGGGTGCAGGTCCTTCATTGAACTTCTGCCCCTGGTGGTCAGTGCACATCATAGTGACTGGTTGTCTGTTGTTCAGTTGATTTGCATATTAGCCTTTTATTATATAAGATACTTATATAAGAGACCCAGTGCATGAAATTCATGCATTTGGGGGTGGGGAGGTTTGCTGGCCTGCACTCTCTCACAGTCCAGGAACCCTTGGGGGATATTGGTCTAAGCCGGCAGTCAGAAATCCTTAGCACTGCTGTGGAGGTGGGAGAAGCTCCCATCATTACTGCTGTGCTAGCCATCCATGAGTCCAGCTCAGGGTTTCTGGCTGAGTGGCACTCTTCCTGTGGGAGTGCACTGACCACCAGGGGGCAGCTCCTTCATTGAGCGTCTTCCCTCTGGTGGTCAGTGCATGTCATAGCAAACAGTTGTTCTGCCATTCAGACAATTTGCATATTAGCCTTTTATTATATAGGATGGTTATAATTGTTCTATTTTATTTTCAGTTATTGTACCTAATTTATAAATTAAACTTTATCATAGGTATGTATGTATAGGGAAAAAAAATAGTATATGTAGGTTTCAGGCATAGATGGAGGTTTTGGAAGATATTCCCCCCAGGAAAGGGGAGACTACTGAATATTGAAACTTTCTCACTAAAACCAGGTTTCACAACCTACCAAAGTTTTAAGTCCAATATGGTCTGTAAAGTTACAACTGATGTTTATGGGACATTAATGAGTTCATATGTGATCAGTTAATAGGAGAAAGAGCTCAGTGTAACATGGAGTTGTTCTGGTTTCTTGGCATGGGGTTCTGGAATAGAAGTAAAATTTTACCCTTTAACATGAAAGTTCTCATTCGGTGCAGGTCTATTTTTAGAGAAGCCCCAGGTGCCTACAGGGGGAAACATACTCCCAGTCTTGCATGACTCTGGGCCCCAGCAGGTTGCACTTCCTTCTGTGATCAGAGCTCCTTACATCTGCTTTGCTCAGCAAAGGCAAATATTCCCATTTTTGTGCATTTTGCACTATCTTCTGTGATAGCCTCCATTAAATGTTGAGTTGCCTGTCTGCGTAGTTATCCAGATGATCTCTGGGGGCTTCAATTATTGTTTTAGTTAGCATAAGTTTATTAGTAAACTTATTTTTACTGCAAACTTTTTTATTTTTTTAATTAAAATGTAGTTAATATACAATATTATTTTGGTTTTGGTGTACAACGAAGTTATTCAACATTAATACACATAATAAAGTAAGCTGTTATTTTTAATGGACATTTTTTCAAAATGCATCATTTTCCAGGAACATGTATCTTGTGTTACAGTAGAAATCCTGTACTCTGCACTTAGCAGATGCTTAATAAATGCTGTCAGATGATATATAATTAACTATATCACAAGAATTTTCTTTTCTTTTTCTTTTTAAAATATATTTTATTGATTTTTTACAGAGAGGAAGAAGGATAGAGAGTTAGAAACATCAACCAGCTGCCTCCTGCACACCCCCTACTGGGGATGTGCCCGCAACCAAGGTACATGTCCTCGACCAGAATCAAACCTGGGACCTTTCAGTCCACAGACCGATGCTCTATCCACTGAGCCAAACCGGTTTCGGCTCACAAGAATTTTAGACAATGGTTCCAAGGAATAATTACGTTGACAATGAACCAAACTGCAAGAGCTTAGCAAGATCATTTGACTTTTCTAGAATATAAAATCTTTAAGTCATTTTAGTTTGCATGATATATTTGTCACTACTGTTTTACAGAAACAGAAGCTAAGTCGTTTTCAAAGACTGATGAACAATCACCAATTATTTCTTGAAGTTGAATAACAGGAAACTGTACTTGTTTTTCAAACCATTTGGCAACTGTAAGAAGCTGCTGGTCACAAAACGCACGTCCAATAAACTGTAGTCCTATTGGCAACCCTTGGTTGGAGAGGGCCATAGGGACACTCACTGCTGGCAACCCTGAGTACAAGAAAGAAACCCATTAGTTGATTAATTAATTGTCCTTCCTAAGAAGCAGATACCCCTTCCACTTTCCAGTGCTAGTAGGACCACGATAAGGCTTACAAAAATAACAAAAAGTATGATATACATGCTTTTGCATCTTTCTTCATTCACTTAATGATAAATGTTGAAAATCACTGTTATTGGAACATCTTCATTCCTTCTTATAGCTGCATCTATTCCAGTATGTGGATTTACCATAATTTATTCAGCCATTCTTCTACAGTTCGGCATGCAGGTTGTTTTCTGTGCTTAGCTATTTCATGCTATAGCCTAGTGATTACTGTGTTCATGTTTTCTGGTATTCTTGAAAGTTTCTCAACAAAAAGGGATTGTTTCACCAAAGGATAAATAAATATGTAATTAGCTAATGCCAAATTCCCCTCCAAAAAGCTGTACCATTCTGAATTCCCATTAGCAAGATGAGGGATTTTTTTCCTGCAGGTTTGTTTATAGGCTATAATTGTTGAGCTTGTAAATTTTCCCAATTTGTTAGATGAGAAATAGTAGCTCAGGGTAGTTTTTCCAGGTTTGGGGCAGAGAGAGTATAAAATCTTGGGACATCTTGTTATATCATAAAAAAAGGAAGTTTTCAAAAATTATTGGGGACAGGTCTAAAGGACACATGCAATTTGAAGGGGGCTCCTATTGACTAAATCTGGGGCAGTATGAGCAGCAAAAACAATGATAGTAATTGCTTATATTACATTGAATTAAAAAAAAAAAAGAAAGCTGCTCTTTAGAGAAGACTGCTAACTAATATACAAAGATGGAATGCTATAATTAGAAAGGTCAGTGTTTTGTAATTCTCTAGATATTAACTCAGGCAGGCAGCATCAATGGATACTAAAACTGAGTTCAAGTTTATTGGGGATTAGGATATTCACATGGTCTCAAAGTATCACTTCACCAAATGCTGACAAGTGATAAAAGGAAAAATGTAACTCTACAAGGAAAACATCTGCAGTTACTTCCTTAACTAAGGGTTCAACTTAGTTTCCAAAAGCAGAGCAAACTAATGTTAACTGTTTCCTGACATCAAGAATATATAGTATTTCTGTCAAAAATGTTGAACTCAACACAATCTCAAGGAAGCAATCTGACAATTAAGATTATGGAGGGACATCCTTCAGGACAAGTGAACTATATTCTTCAAAAGACAATGTCATTTAAAAGGAAAATGTTAAAGGTAGGGGCTTTCTTATCAGAAGTAAGCAGGCTAGAAGAAAGTAGCACATTTTTTTAGGTGCTAAAGAAAAGAACTGTCAAAACAGAATCCTATATATAGCAAAAATAATCTTTAAAAATGAAAAGGAAGAAAACGAAGAGAATTAGCTGCCATCAGACCTACCCTAAAAAAAAGGCTAACGGAATTTCTCTAAACAGAAAGGATGTGATAAAACATAAAAATCTTGACAGATCAGGGAGAAATAAACACAGTAAGCAAAAGTCAGGCAAGTACAGTAGACTTTCTATCTCCTCTTGAGTGTTCTATGCTATGTTCAATAATTGCTATAAAACTTTTAATGCAGCCTGATGTGGTTCTAAAAAACAGCCTGATGTGGATTTAAAAAAATACCATAAATGAATTATATATTAGGAAAAAACAACTTATAAAAGACATTTTTGGTACAACTGATAATTCAACTTTATTAATTTAGAAAACTTAATTATTTAAATTTAAAATGCAACACTTAAATATGGAGTACATTTGGCAAGTTATTGTACAGTATTTATGTTAGTTTTCTTAGGTAAGATAAAGGAATTGTGGTTATATAGGAGAATGTCTTTATTCTTAGAAGACTCATGATAAAGATGAAGTGTCATGATGTTGAATCTTAGAAGTGTGTGTGTGTGTGTGTGTGTGTGTGTGTGTGTGTGTGTGTAGAAAGAGACAGAGACAGGGAAAGAGAAAGAGAGGAAGGAGAAAGTAAATGAGGCAAAATATTAACAAGGGTGAACCCAGACAAAGGTCATAGCAGTGTTCATTATGCGACTTTTCAACTTTTTTATAGGTTTCAAGAATTTTTTAAAGTTTAAAAATATGCTGCTAAGTGAAATGATTCTGAGCATGTGTATGTGTGGTGAATCTGATGATTTGTGTACCTATGCCCAGGCACCACTCACATACATACACACACACACACACACACACACACACACACACACACACACACACCAGGCACCACTCACATACACACACACACACACACACACACACACACACACACACACACACACACACACCAGGCACCACTCACATACACACACACACACACACACACACACACACACACACACACTTTTCTAAGCATTGCAGAAGGACAAGCAATTGCCTTTAGGGAATGATCTAGCTAGAACCTAAGTGAAGACCAGGGTGCCTACTTAAAAAATGTAAAGAAAAATCTGAACATTTTTGAGGGACCCTCACCTGCCATATTTACAGCCTGTGTAAAAATATCACCCTGGGCACTTCGAGTTCTGTTGTCTTCTTTGATGAACTCCACGTACGGCACTGCCTCACTCAAAGTGGTGGGAGTTAGCAAGACATCCACTCCAGAGTTAAAAACATTCACAAAATCATTAGCAATGAGTCGTCTCACTTTCTGTGCTTTGATGAAGTAATTCTCATAGTTTCTGGGGAAAACAATAGATGATATTTTGAGGGCTTTTTGTTATTTCTTTGAACAATTCTCATATGTGACGCTTGTTAAAGAATTCACTGGATCTCGGCCTTTATGAGTTTAGACTCCTACAACACATAAAAATGAATTTTGTTCAACTGTGATATCATTAGAAAATTTGGTACATCTATAGTTTAATCAATCAGAATTCACTACTAGCTGCAATTCTGCATATATAATCATAAAACATCAATACTTCCAGGGAACCATTCAACCAGAACATTCATTTTCAGGTGAGGAAAATCAAGTATAGTTATTAAATGATTTTGCAGAGGTTACAGAGATTGGCAGTGGTAAAGTCTAGAACTGGGTTCCTGGAGGCTCAGTTTAATCCTCTTTCTATTATAATGTCTTAACTCATCTAGAGTATAATGATAAGTAATTACTAGAAGGACACTGAAGTTTTGCAAAATTTTAACATATCATCATCAGAATTAGACATTAGAAAAAGGCTCTGCAAACAAAAACTGGGGAAAGTATGCTATGCTTGCAATTTTGTATTTTGTGGATAGGCACAGCCCAGATGGAAATGTGTAATTCAAGGAAAGATGCTTACTTTACTGAAAAGATTAAGAAATTAGCCAGACTTAGGAGTTTGTGTAAGTCATGCAGAGAAAGGGAAAAAGAAAATGCCCTTCAACTCCTCATGAAACTAATGAAGGCTGGCAAAAGTACTAACTATTCGAACTTCAGTTTCCTCACCTGTAAAAATGGATATCACAATTCCAGTCTTACTGCAAACCAAATACAATGAGATAAAAATGTAAAAATCTTTTTACCCTCAAAGAATGCTCTAGAACTGTCAGATGTCCGTACTATTTTTTGACCACAGGGTTTATAGAGAAGAATGCAGCCCTAACCGGTTTGGCTCAGTGGATAGAGCATCGGACTGTGGACTAAAGGGTTCGATTCTGGTCAAGGGCATGTACCTTGGTTGTGGGTATATCCCCAGTGGGGGCTGTGCAGGAGGGAGCTGATCGATGTTTCTCTCTCACTGATGTTTCTAACTCTCTATCCCTCTCTGTAAAAAATCAATAATATATATATATTTTTTAAAGAAAAAAATGCAGACATCACCTCTCTGTAAAAAATCAATAAAATATATTTTTTAAAAGAAAAAAATGCAGACATCACCTGTAACTTACACAACAATAACAATTGATGGCTTAAATAATGTATTAACAGCATTCCCAAACCTGAATTTTAAAAAAGAACAAATACTTCTGTTCTCTATGAAATTTCTTCCTCCTTTAAATATGGTTCAAAAGCAGAACTGTTCCTATCAATGATACGTCCATCAATGATGCCATATTAAAAAACCAGAAAACAGGACAAAAGGCAACTACCATTTTCAGACCTTAGACATCAGGCATTCAGAAGAGGGAGCTATGAGAGAAGAGAAACAAGTATGTGAAAAGCTCTTTGATTTCCCTAGAGCAGTGGTAGGCAAACTGCGGCTTGCAAGCCACAATGTGGCTCTTTGGCCCCTTGAATGTGGCTTGGCATTAGAACCACTTCTTCAAAATAGACTTGCCTAAGCCGAAAACCGACTTCTGCGCTTGGGCCACGAAGTTTCAATGGCACTGTATGTGCGTGCCCGCACATGGTATTTTGTGGAAGAGCCACACTCAAGGGACCAAAGAACTGCATGTGGCTTGCAGTTTGCAGACCACTGCCCTAGACTAATGCCTGGAGACAGTTTTCAGGCCTGAGCCCAGAGAGGCGGAACCTAAAAAGAGCTTAAGAGTGGGAAAACGGGGCTCTCTGTCAAAGAGGAAGATGGAGAGTTTGGAGAGGCAGACAGCCACAATTCGCCAGAGCAGAGTATTGGATAGGAATAAGTAGCACTCAGAGCTAAAGGGATCACTTGAGTGTGGTGAGACTATTTAAGATCTACTCCCTTAGCAACTTTCAAGTTTATAATACAGTACCGTTAACCATGGTAAATATGATGGACTTTAGATCCCCAGAAACTTACTCATCTTATCTCTGGAAGTCTGAAAACCTTTGGACAACATCTCCCCATTTCCACCCAGCCCCAACCCCTGGCAACCACACTTCTACTCTGTTTCTGAGTTTGGCTTTTTCATGTCTGTCTGTCTGTCTGTCTATTTATTTATCTTAGATTCCACATGTTAGTGAGATCATATCGTATTTGTCTTTCTCTTACTTCATTTAGAATAATGCCTTCACAAGATGGTCAATAAACTAATATTGAAGACAATCTAGGTAGGAGTCATAGTAATTTAGAATTCTTTCTTGGGGCAACAGGTGCATAGTGGTAGGAAAAACTAAGTTGATCCACTAAATTTTTCTTGAGGGACATTGAAGTAACTTCCTACTTAAGGCTCTAACAGCCATAAGCCAATGTGGCAATAATAGTCAGGGGACATTTAATGAGGCCCAAATCCCTCAGGGCTTCCTACTTTACTAATCATTTAATTAAAACTTCCCATTTTTGTTTGTTTCTGAATAACAGGAACCTAAGGTACCATAAATAAGCCTTTAATTGATTTCTAATTAAAATCACAAAGATTTTGCTTCTTTAGCAAATATTTCAACTTGTAAGACCTGCTACTACTTTACTGTTGAGTTTTTAAGAATGGGGAAAATTCCTAAACTAATTATCTTACTCTTTCAGTAAGAAAAAGTTTCCTGAGAGAATTCTTCCTCTCACCACATCATTAAAGCCTTCTCGTCTGGTTGCAGCATACATGGCTTCAGTAGACACATTAATGTCACACCTGTGACCTGAAAACCAAAAAGAGATAGACATTACTTAAGAAGGAAGTTTTGGCTGAAAAACAGACCTAAATTTACATTTGTGACCAATACAAAATTTGCAGATTACCCTTCATGGTTTCCCTTCTTTATTTGCCTTGTGAGTGATTGGCTAGTCAGCAATCAAGGAAACAGAAGAAGATAACCAAGAGGGAGACACTATTTGTTCACTTCCTCATTTGCTCATTTGTTCCTTCATTGAAATGCATACTGAGCATCCCCCACGTACTGAGCATTACATTAAATGAACTGAAAATACAAAGATGAAATACTCTCTCTTCAAGGTATTCAGTCCAGAAAAGTGAATTGAACATACAGAGATATTACTGATAAATAATGTAAGGATAATGCTAAAATGATAAAGGATTCATTGATTTACTTTTCTAACTCATCAACACGATCTTAGGCAATATATATATATATTGCCACTAATAAGTGAACCTTTCAAATGTTGAGACAACTACTTTAAAAATACAAAACACAACCATCTTACCATACTCCAGCCCATCAAATCTTGCCATATTCGATGCCACTTCTGATGTACACAGTACATGGTAGCAGACGATTGAGTAACTGGTGTGGGGCAGGGACACTTCAATTACTTTGGCCCCCTCAGACTCAAAGAGCTTAGCGGCTTTGGACCAAAGAGACTGCACTTCACTCGATAATTCTGGTACAAGATATTCCTTATTGGAAAAAGGTAAAAAACAGAAATTAGAACATCTATATTGATGACTTATAAAAATTTGTACTCCAGGACCTTTGGCAATACATTAGAAAATTTATTAACTTGCTAGTAGATAGCCAGAAAGACTGAATTTACGATGTTCATGGCACAACAAGCACAGTACTAGTATGAGTGAGCTCTCTAACAATAGTAAAGATTGGTGATTTGGTTGGAAACCTTATAAAATTGTTAAATGTTTATTATATATCAGGTACCCTGCTAGATGCTTTTCAAAGATTTTCTACTTTAATGCTTTTAATAATCCCATGATGTAGGTATTATTTTTCAAATTATTAATAAAAAATATAGAGACTAGAGAAGTTAAATAACTTTACTAATATAGCAGGTAAGTAGAGGATCTAGGATTCTAAACTACAGTTGTTTCTACAACCTGTGCTTTCTCTAAGCCCTTACAAAAAGGCATAGTTATGACCTTAACTGAAGATTTTAAAGAAAGTAGAATTTCCCTACAGGAATAGTCTCCACTGGGGGCAGTTTATCTTCTTCCTGTCAACCAGGGACATTGGTAGCATGTGCAACATTTTTGGTTGTGGGACTGTGGTATGGCGGGGCGCTACCTCTAGGAATAGAGGCAGTGATGCTGCTAAACATCTTACAATGCATAGGGCAGTCTCCCAAACAAAAAATTATCCAAAAAATTACTGTTGCCCTGGCTGGGAGGCTCAGTTAGTTGGAGTGTTGTCCTACACACCAAAAAGATTGTGAGTTTGATTCCCAGTCTGGCACATACCCAGTTGTTGGTTAAATCCTGAGATGGGGCATGTATGGGAGGCAACTGATTGATGTTTTTCTCTCACATTGATGTTTCTTTTTGTTTCTCTTTACCTCCCTTCCTTTCTCTCTAAAATCAATAAACATATCCTTGGGTGAGGATTAAAAAATAAAAATTAATACTAAGCTTAAAGGTCAGTAATTTAATATATTTACTTTCATGTATGAATCACTTAATTGCTACCATAATAAATATGGTAGTAATTCAAATAATAGTAATGTCAGTAACATTTATTGATCCTTTACTTTGCAAAGTATATCTTGGACTATGCCCTTTACATCAAGGATTAATAAATTAGGCCCATCAGTCAGATGTGTTGATAGCTATTTTTGAAAATAAAGTTTTATTAGAACACAGCCACACTCTTTTCTTTACATACAGTCTATGGCTGCTTTCACACTACTATTGTGGCATAGTTAAGTAGTTATGACAAACTGCATGGCCCACAAAACCTAAAATATTAACTAATTGATACTTTATAGAAAAATCTTACAGACCCTTGCTTAACACATTGCAGATGGATCACGAGGAGAATCTTCGCTTCATATTTACACAGTGTTGTACAAAGTATCATACTTTAAAAATATATTAGCTTGTAAGAACATGTAATAACTTCAAAATGCAATGGGTATTTAATTTTAAAGCATGCCTTTAACATTTATGTAAAACGTTTTTTGTACTCGTTCAATAGAGACTTATCTGGCCACTGGGTAAAGCTAGCAATAAAACTACTAGTCCGCAATGTGTTAACATGAGTATCTAATTCTTTTTATTGAGGTGTAATAGTTTACAACATAATGTTACATTAGTTTCAGGTGTACAGTATGATTTGATATTTGTATGTATTAAGAAACGATCACCACAATAGGTCTAGTTAACACCTGTCATCCTACATAGTTTTTTTTTCTTGTGATTAGAACTTTAAAGATCTACTCTCTTAGCAACTTTCAAATATGCAATATAGTATTATTAACTACTAGAAGCCGATGCACAAAATTCATGCAAGAGTAGGCCTTCTTTCCCCCAGCTGCTGGCACTGGCTTCCCTCTAGCACCTGGGATCCGGGCTTCCCTCACAGCCCCAGCTTCGTCCAGTCTAATTAGCATATTATGCTTTTATTATTATAGTCACCATGCTCTATATTACATCCCTATGATTATATAATTCAAACCTCACCATTCTCTGAAATCAATACTGTTATTATCCCCATTTTACAGATGGGGAAATTGAGCTTAGAGAGATTAAACCATGTGTGCTCAGGTTACACATCTATAATAATAAAAGGAAAATATGCTAATTGGACCTGACATTTTTCAGACATCATTCTAGACGCCCTTCCTGACGAAGCTGGAGGCCTGAGGAAAACCAGTCCAGGTTCCGGGTGCCTATGGGCGGCCCGAGGGACGCCGGCCCGGGTCCCAGGTGTGTGCAGGTAGCTGGAGAAAGGAAGCAAGCTGGTGTCCTGGGTGCCTGCGGGCGGCCAGAGGAGGGAAGCAGTCCAGGTCCCAGGTGCCTGCTGGAAGCCTGAGGAGGAAAGCCTGGGTCCAAGGTGCCAGAGAGAAGCCAGTGCTGGCAGCTGGGGGAAAGGCCTACTCTTGTACGAATTTTCAAGCATCAGGCCTCTAGTAGCAAATAAAAGTGGAAGAGCAAGGATTCAAACCTAACCAATCTGTGCTTTGTATGTGACAGTACAGTATTCCTGTAAAGTAATGAAAGGGAAGAATTACCTTGGGAATTCCTATACATAGTTTGCTTACATCTGTCAAACTGGGAAGTATAAACGATTTAACAGGATCTTGTACTGTGGTTGAATCTTTGCAGTCATGCCCAGCCAGTACACCTGTAAAGGAAAATACTTGGGAGTGACAGACATCATTGTTTTACAGTGAAACTGTGACGTTTTCAAACCACATGGAATCATATAAATACCCAACACAGTTGCTGCATCATCCACGCATCTGGTTAAGATTCCTGGCACATCCATTGAATTCACCAGGGGAATGAGACCGTAACGGGAAACTAAGCCATAGGTTGGTTTTAAACCAACGACTCCACAGAGGCCAGCTGGATTTCTGGTTGATCCTCCTGTATCTGATCCTAAAGCCCTGGAATTCAAATGGAATTCTCTTTAGAAGAATGACATATCTCTAATTACATTTGGAATCTACCTTTTGAAATGTGTATTTTAAAACTGTATTTCCCGCTGATTATATAAAAATAAAATATGCTTTTCTCAGAGAAGTATTAAAATATAGAAAAGGGTAAGAGGTAAAATATCCCACCATTCTGAGGCAAACACTGTTAATATTTGGCATATTCAAGTCTTTAAAAATGCATTTCTCTTTCATACTTCAGATTATTCTGTAATCATAAGTTTCTATCTCTTTTTTGCTAATCATGAACCTTTTATCAGATCATTAAAATTACTGAAAATTTACAATATGTATAATACTGTATCATCTCAGTTGGCAATTCCCAATATTTTAAAGTACATTTTCTTATCAATCTACATACAAATCTTTACCTTCTTTAATGGCGATTTTACAGTATGCTTTTAACAATTGAATATACCCTCCCAGAAATTCAGATATAGCCCTTCTATTACCCCATTTAGAATAATGGGTAGAAATATATTTTAATTTATTTAAACATTATGTTATTGCCAATTATAATAACAACTGAATAATAAATTACTTTGTAATAAACACCTTTAAACATAAACCTTCGCCCATATGTCTGATTATTTCTTAAGTTAGCTTCTAAAAATTGAGTTAATGGGCCAAAGAGTCTGCCTATTATTATAAGTTCTTAATATATACAGTCAAATTACTCATTAGAAAGGTTATACTAATTTATATTCTCAATTGCAGTGAATCAAATTGTGTTTAATGTTCCATTGTTCCACTGAGTACTAATAGTTCTTAAAATATCGTTAAAGTGATAACCAAAAAGTTTTGTAAAGGTGTATTTTAAAATAATTTTTCACATTTATTTGTATTTGTATTACCTAACTATGAAGTGTCTGTTCATTGTTTTGCCTAATTACCCATAGAGTATATATGCTTTTCTTATTAAACAACAAAAACTCCCACAAAAACTAACTTAGAGGACATAATACTAGGTAAAATAAACCATCACAAAAACTACATAATTTCACTTATATAAGATAACTAGAGTAGTCAAATTCATAGACAGAAAGGAGAAGAGTGGTTGCCAGAGGCTGGGGGACAGGCAAATGGTGAGCTGTTGTATAATGGGTACGAAGTTTTGCAAATGAAAAAAGTTCTGGAGATTGGTTGCACAACAAGTGAATATATTTAACACTGCTGAACTGCATATTTAAAAATGGTTATTAAAATGGTAAATTTTATGTTATGTATATTTTACAAGTAAAAATTAAAAACATTTTAAAAAACTGTTTCAGAAAAATAGTTTTTCTAATTAGAAAAGTGTACATGGCTAATGGAAAAATTAAAATGACCTACTGTATGAAGTATATAAAGTAAAATTTCTCTTATAAATACTACCCTGATAAAAATCTAGTTATCAATTTTAATATACATTCATCCAGACACTTCCATGCAACTTGCATATATACATATGTATTACTTTTAATAAACTAAGATCACACTATACATGTCTTTCCATGTCACCAGTGCTCTAGCTCATTCTTTTTCATGGTGCATTAGTATACCAAGAGTTTTCTTATTTTTAAAACTATTACAGAAAGAATGAATCAAAAGGTGGGGGTATAAAGCAGAACACTTGACAGTTTGGGACCCATTCAATTGGAGTTAGTTTGGGTCTGTGCTTCTCTTGACTACACCCAGAGTGAAGCTTTGAACTAAATAAGGCTCCTACCAGTCACATGGCCTTTGTGTTCTACAGAAAATGCAAATTAGACTGCCTTTCTTACAAAGTCCATTTGAGTCACAAAATCAGACTGTTGCTTTCAGAATTTCTAAAACGATACATTTTCTTATTAGGATTCACTGACAGCTATGTAGAGTAAAACTTGCATTTCGATAGGAATTATGTGTCAAAATGCCATCTTCTCAAAGCTCATTCAGAAAGATGAACACTGAATGGGGTGATGAGGATAGGAAAGAGTACCTAATCTGGCAGGCCTCACTTATCAGAAGTCTCATTAATATTAATGCAGTACTATAAAATTTCACAGAGATAAAATGAAATGTTTTACTTGTTAACAAGATTCCAGAGAAACTAAAAAAAAAATCAAAAAAAAAAAATCTGTAGAGTCTAATAAATCCTCATAGCTCTAAAAATATAAATAATTTATAGCTTGCAATGTCCCTGAAAGAGCTTAGTTTCAGTGGATAATTAAGGAAAGAAAACTATAATAACAGCAATATTTATTTACTCTTCCTTAGATGGTTAAGAAATGCTTTACAAGTGGGACTTAAGAGATAAAGCATGATTGATGCTTCCTAAATACAAAGTATGACAGTTAAATAAATCAGCTCCCTACAAACTTGAAAAACCTTTACTTACTAATATTTATTTTTAGTTGCTGATTGATAAAAACACTATTTTAAATATTCTATTGATATATATATTAGGAATATTTTTTTTCTTTCCCTTTTGGGGGGACAAAAGTCAGAATTAGGCGAAGGATAAACCATAGCTAACAATTTAACTCAGTATCACTCAGCTAAAGCCATGGTATGTTAGTACCTCAATATCTGTACAATCATGACACCCAAATAAATTATTTTAAAAATGAAATTCAATGAAATCCATTTATGCTAACTGGTTTATTCTGCAAGATCCATAAAATCATGTTTTTAAGAGAACCAGGTACTATATAGGAAGACTTTAAATGTTATATTATTATTATTATTATTATTATTATTGTTACTAGAGACCTGATGTATGAAGATTTGTGCAAGAATGGGTCTTCTTTCCCCTAGCTACCAGCACCACATTTACTCTGGCCCAGACCCACCTTTCTGCCTTCACTCCAGCTGGGACTGCCTTTCCACCTTTCCATGCTGTCCAGAGGCCCAGAGCTGCTGGGGTGGTGTGGAATGCCTGCATCATCGCCATAGTGATGATGATAGTGTCCCGCACTTGGCGCCTGTGTATGCAAATTAACCCAAAATCTTAGTTGGGTTAATTTGCATACTCGCTCCTGATTGGCTGGTGGGCGTCACGAAGGTACAGTCAATTTGCATCTTTCTCTTTTATTAGTGTAGATTATTTTTTAATCCTCATCTGAGGGGTAAGGATATTTTTTCCATTGATTTTAAAGAGAGTAGAAGGAAGAGGGAAGAGGGTGAGAAAAAGGAGAAAGGGAAACATGGATGTGGCAGAGACACATCAATTGCTTCCTACATGAGTCTAAACTGGTGGTGAGGATCAAACCTGAAACCTAGGTACATGTTCTTGACTGGGAATTGAATCTGAGACCCTCCAGTACACACACTGACGTTCTAACCATTGATTAATGCCGGCTACAACTAAATATTATCTTAAAGTTAAATGTATAACTACACATAAGTGTACTGTATAGTTAAGTATTAATAGGATAATTTTGATATACCATTGGACACAAATAGCTCACTAAAAAGAAATAAAAATAGTGAGGTACTGCCCAATTGGTATGAATCAATGGTTGATGGTAAACCTATGAACTAGGAGGTCACAGTTTGATTCTTGGTCAGGATACATGCTCAGGCTGAGAGCTCGGTCCCCAGTAGGGGGCGCAGGAGACAGCTGATCAATGATCCTCAACACTGAAGTTTCTATCTTTCTTCCTCTTCCTTCCTCTCTGAAATAATATACGTGTGTGTGTGTGTGTGTGTGTGTGTGTGTGTGTGTGTGTGTATAAGAAATACTGAAGTATGAATTTGCCTACTGTTGGATTTTGCCTACAGTTTATGACCATTTGTCCCAGGTTGGGTTTTAAAGTACAAACAGGAAAAACATCTTACGCAAAGCATGTGAATGCCGATACGGCGGCTGCGCTCCCCCCGGAGCTTCCTCCCGTTATAAGCCAATTTGTGTCCTCGTTCTCGTCATGGGGTTTCTGCTTCCTTTTTTCTCGGTACTGTTTTGAATAACTCCATGGGTTTTTAACTGGTCCGAATACACCATCTGTGCTACCAGATCTGAGAGGAAGAAGTGAAGCAAGATATCTAATAAGACTTTCATTTTATGTGACAATTTCATCTTCTGATAATTATTTGCTTCTGACATTGTATAATCCACTGTAATAAACTGAATTGGAAAAGATAGGAAGCCTGCTTAGATGTAGCTTTATTCAATTACATAGTTGAGGAGTGGAGGATGGAAAGAGCATTTGTGATAGAAAGCAGAGAAAACTAGTCTACTAAGAAATAAAGATTTATATCCCAGTTGATCATCTAATTCAGTTTAAGATGATTTCCCGTGTAAATTAATGTCTTCCGGTTGTAGTGTCACAAACATTCAGTTAACACAAAGTCTTTTATAGGAATCCCTCTTTTAAAAAAAAAATATTTTATTGATCTTTTTACAGAGAGGAAGGGAGAGAGATAGAAAGCTAGAAACATCGATGGGAGAGAAACATCGACCAGCTGCCTCCTGCACACCCCCTACTGGAGATGTGCCCACAGGCAACGCACATGCCCTTGACCAGAATCGAACCTAGGATCATTTAGTCTGCAGACCGATACTCTATCCACTGAGCCAAACCGGTTTTGGCGGAATCCCTTTTTTAATCAGAAGTTTTAAGAAAAGCATTATAAGTAGAATACTAATAAGTTATTTTTTAAATTTTGAAATAATTTCAATCATACAGAAAAATTATAAAAATAAAAATAGTATGAAAAGCACTTTACACCCTTTTCCTAGATTCATCTACTGTTAACATCTGATCTTATTTATTTTATCATTTGTATGCTCTGTGTATGTGTATCCATACACTTTTTTTTTTTCTGAACCATTTAAGGGTAACTTATATTGCAATGGCTCTTTAGTCCCAAATACTTTAATATGTACTCAGTATGTCATTTCCTAAGATTAGAGTATTCTCTTATATAGTCAGTAGAGGCCCAATGCATGAAATTCGTACAAGGGGCTCGACCCTCGAAGTCCTGGCTTCGTCTGGAAGGTCGTTCGGAGGATCGTTCTGCTGATTGGTCTGATTAGCATATTAGCTCTTTATTATATAGGATAGTACAGTTATCAATATCAGTAAATTTAACAATATACTTTTATCTAATTTAATGTATATAATCCAATTTTACTAGCTGATGCAATAATGTCCTTTATAGCATTTTACTCCCTTCCTGTACAGAAGCAGACCTAGAGGTAGATACTACAGCTAGTTATCATTGTCTCCTAAGCCTTGTTAAAATTAAAAAAATATGTATTTATATATTTTATTGATTTTTTTACAGAGTGGAAGAGAGAGTGATAGAGAGCTAGAAACATCAATGAGAGAGAAACATCGATCAGTTGTCTACTGCTAAATGCTGTTTTCCAAAGACAGTTTATATTCACTTTTTTATAACTTAAAAACACTGACTTTAACAGTACTACAAAATATTGAATATCGATCAGTTGATATGCCCACAACTAAGGAACATGCCCTTGACTGGAATCCAACCCAGGACCTTTCAGTCCACAGGCCGAAGCTCTATCCACTGAGCCAATCTGGTTTCGGCATTTTTTTATTTTTTAATCATTCACTAGCCAATGAACATTGAGCTATTTCCACTTTTTGGCAATTTGAAAAAAGTCACAATAAATATTGTACTGAAAGGCCATTGACAGTGCTTTTGTGTAAACATAAGTCTTCACCTCTTGACCGAGATTGTTGGGTCATATGGTGAGTGGTGTTTAATTTTATAACACACTGCCAAACTATTTCCTCAAATGGCGACACCGCCCTAACTGGTTTGACTCTGTGGACAGAGTGTCAGCCTGCAGACTGAAGGGTCCCAGGTTTGATTCCAGTCAAGGGCACGTACCTTGGTTGCAGGCATATCCCCAGTAGGGGGTGTGCAAGAGGCAGTTGACAGGTGTTTCCCTCTCATCGATGTTTCTAACTCTCTATCCCTCTCCCTTCCTCCCTGTAAAAAAATCAATAAAATATATTTAGATAAATAAAATGGTGACACCAAAGTTCTTTATGCTTGTCAGCACTTGATATTTTCATTTTTTAAGCCATTCTAATAAGTATAAGTATCTCATTGTGTTTTTTATTTGCATTTTCTTAACGTGATGCATTTTTATGTGTTTATTTGCCAATTGTATATCTTCTTTAATGAAATGTCTACTTACATCTTTTACCCATTAAAAGAAAAACTGAGTTGTTTTCTTAGTGAGTTGGGAAAAGGTCTATATATACTGGATGCATGCTCTTTCTCAGACAACAATGCAAGTATTTTCTTTCAGTCTATAGTTTTATTTTGTTTTTTCATTTTTAAACAGTATATTTCAAAGTGCAGAAGTTACTAATTTTAATTAAGTCCAAACTATCAATTTTTTATTTAACAAATTGTACTTTATGTGTCTTAAGAAATTTTTGTCTAACTCAAGGTCGTATAGATTTTCTCCTACATTTTCTCCTATAAGTTTTAGGTTTTATGTTCTTTAACTTATTTTAATCTAGAACATTTTCACAGCCTTCCTATGCTTTTTAGATATTGATACTTAATAGGATGTTTCTAATTTCAGATTTGTCTTTTGTTTTCTTATTATTACTTTAGGAAAGGAAAATTGCATAGATGATGGTGTGTTTTCTTAGGGAATCACATCCAGAGGTACATGATGTTGAATTCATCCTCACTGATATTCATTTTGATCAGCTATTCAAGGCAATGTCCTAATAACCTATGTTTGAGTTTACTCCCATGGGTTAATCTATTCAATATGTATTTACTAAATGCCAAAACCATGAAAAGACAAGCCAGAGAATGGAGAAAATATTTGCAAATCACCTGTATAATAATGGTTTTGAATCCAGACTGTATGAAAGAATTCTTACAACTCAAGAAGATAAACAACACAATTGAAAAAACAAAAGGGTGGGAGACAAAAGATTTGAATATATTCTTCAACAGAGAAGATATATGGGTGGCAAACCACATAATGTTTAACATTATTAGTCATCAGGGAAATGCAAACTAAAACTGAGATATTACTATATATGTATTAAACAGTAGAGCATAATATCACAGAGGGAATGAGAAATTGTCATTAGAATCCTCAAAAAGAAAATCACCTCAATACTTTTAGGGAACTACATAATAAAATTAAAGACGGATAGAAGAAATACAAGAGAAGAGAATTTCAATTTTACTTACCCCATAGCAAATTCATCTAAGTTTGTTTTTCCCATTAGTAGAGCTCCCTGATCCAATAGCTTCTGAACTACTGTGGCATTATAAGGTGGTACATAACCTAAAAAAAAATAAGTAATTTTTATTACAGGAAAAAAACCAACAACAGTGAACATATAAAACATACAAAAGAAACAAGATTTTAAAAAATATATATTTTATTGATTTTTTTTTACAGAGAGGAAGAGAGAAGGATAGAGAGTTAGAAAAATTGATTAGAGAGAATCATCAATCAGCTGCCTCCTGTACATCTCCTACTGGGGATGTGCCCACAACCAAGATACATGCCCTTGACCGGAATCGAACCTGGGACCTTTCAGTCTGCAGGCTGATGCTCTATCCACTGAGCCAAACTGGTTTCAGCAAGAAACAAGATTTTTAAACTGCAATTAAACAATTTGTATTGACATGTGTTAATTATTCTTAATTTGACTAGTTGGTTGTACTTTCTTCCAAAAGTTAATTTTTTCTATTGCTAAATGCTATGTTTTCCAAAGACAGTTTATATTCACTATTTTTATAACATAAAAACACTGACTTTAACAGTACTACAAAATATTGAATAACAAAGGTGTACTTAATTCATTTGATACTAATCACAAATCGTATTTTTTAAAATTGTACTTGACTTTTTCTTCTCAGATAATGCTATTTCACAGTGATTTTTATCCATTTCCAGTCAGAAGTAGATTTTTATTGTTAATTAAAATTCTCTCCGTGTAGTGTATATTCAAAAACAATTATCAACAGTCTACTTATCAGAGGAACCTAGGCACATACCTCAGAATATTACTTTTAGTATATAGTACTCTGAATAACTTTTTTCCATTTCCTGTTCTTTCTATGATCCAAGCATCTTGATAAACTTGATTCCTTTTTGACTTACTAAACTGAAAAGAATAAAACTAAAATTATAATACTCAAATAAATATCTATAATAATAAGAACGTAAAATGCTAATTAGACCGGACAGCCAAATGACCTTCCTGACATAAGGGTGATCAGGCAAGGAGGTGAGCAGTTAAGAGGCAATCAGGTAGGCAAGCAAGTGGTTAGGGGTAATCAGGCAGGCAGGCAAGCCAGTGGTTAAGAACCAGCTGTCCCAGAGGGATCGGGCCTAAACCGGCAGTCCAACATCCCTCAAAGGGTCCCAGATTGCAAGAGGGTGCAGGATGGGCTGAGGGACCCTCCCCCAACCCCTTGTGCATGAATTTTGTGCACTTTGCCTCTAATAGTGATATAAGAGGTACAGGAGTCAAGAAATAAAAAAAATAATGGGACTATAGTGGCTAATAAATCTTCACACCAACCTTGAGAGATGGGTAATGACAGCCATTTCATACTCTTCCCATGTTATCACAGAGTGGGAATTAGAGGTTGCTTAGTGTGTTTGTGGTGATCAGTTACTGAGTCTTCCTAAATAGGATTGCTAAAACTTCCTAAATTACATTCATCCACTAAGCAGGCCTACCTCTAAAGAATAGTTTTGCATTCTGAAAGAGCAAATAGAAAAAATGTAATACTCCATCCTAAGTATCGTTTTTTGCAGATATAGAGTGAGAATATCTTGGTGCTTTACTATCTTTTCTTTAGTATTACCTGAAAAATTCTTATTTTTAATAAATGCTGTGATCAGTTAAACTTTACCTTTCAACATGTTTGATGCACATGTTGTCTTAATGCCAGTTGTGCTAAAGTTGTCTTTTACTGCAACAGGAATTCCATCTAACTCCCCAAGTGAGTGACCTGTTTTAAAAAGCCAAAAGAAAAGAAGTATCTAATTCAAGATATAATGACACATTAATACTAGTTAATAACTATTAGTTCTTGGTAAAGATACTTCTTTAGGAATTAAATTCAGGTTAGAAATTATTGCAGTTGGACAGTAATATCCAATTGCCTTTTTTTAAATTATTATTATACTGCAAGGCAAGTTCTTTAAATAAGGGAATGCTTTATGTTAAAAGATTCTCTTGCCAAATGGAGACTACTATATCCAATTAAAACTCTTTCTCTGATATAAGAACTGAGTATAATTCAAAGCAATTTACCTTTCTTATATCTTTCCTCTGATTCTTCAGCTTGCTTTAAGGCCACTTCTTCTGATACAGTAATGTAAGCATTTAGAAACTTGGTCTTCTTGATCAGGGAGAGACATTTTTGACAGAGCTCAGTTGGAGTAATTTGGCCTTGTTTCAGTGCGACAGAAACCTATAATGTATTCAGTTAAAAAACCCTTTGGTGAGTCTGCAGAAGTTTCAAATATTACACTGATGCAGGCAGGTAGAGTGGTTAAGTATAAATTTTGAAGTAAGGCTTAGATTCCAAACCAAGAGAACCTATTAACTCTACACTTAGTGTAGTGAACCAGGGTAACACTTTAACCAGCTTGAAGATGGTTTGGAGAATACCACATTCATAGGCCTAGCTAAGTAGCTGTTTCTAAACCAGGCTTGAACAAACAAGAGTGATGGTTTAGGTCAGTGATCGGCAAACTCATTAGTCAACAGAGCCAAATATCAACAGTACAACGATTGAAACTTCTTTTGAGAGCTGAATTTTTAAAACTTAAACTATATAGATAGGTACATTGTTATTAACTTAATTAGGGTACTCCTTCAATCGCACTGCACGTGTGTGCCCATGCGTGGTATTTTGTGGAAGAGCCACACTCAAAGGGCCAAAGAGCCACATGTGGCTCGAAAGCTGTGGTTTGCCGACCACTGGTTAGGTAAACTATCCTGCCCAGAAGAAGTAGAGGTCCAGTATGGGTGAAGCATGGGTTAGGATAGATTGTGTAAAGAGAGTAGCTTAGCTGCAACGCATGATGTGGAGAGAATATAGAGTGGACAGAAGATATATTTTGGGTTGGGAAAATCACAACCAAATAATGTTTTGCAAACAATATCAATAAATACTTGTAAAAGGACTGATAAAGTAAAAGCAATCATGCCAAGGCAACCATCCTCCTGTCTACCCCTGGGTCATTTTTTTATCCCCTTAACGTAAAAGTTGTTTCGCATGATGCTTCCCTCAACGACATGAGGAAAGGGTTGGTGGGCACATAAAAGGTGGAGCTGAATGGGAAAAGAACAGAAAAAGAAAAGGCCATGTTTTTTCAGTTATATTTCATTTTCAAACAATTTTTTCTTTTTAAAGGACAAATAAGATTCTGCACTAACAGTAAAGTCCAGATGCAATTAAAATAGTAAAACAGTAATTATTTGGGGGAAGATCTATTTATTTTTTAAAGCCTGCAGACTTAAAAGAAGTTCTCATAATTTAATTTTCTAAAAGGCTGCCAGGTGGGAAGAAAAGACATTCCTGGTGAAGACAGAAGGCATGGTAAGTCCTCAACCTCTACATAGCAGCAGAATCACCTGGAGCCTTTGTTAAACCATGTATTCTGGGCCTTACCACACAGATCTGCCTCCATGGAGAACAGCTGAGTTTTAACAAGGGCGAGAGGTAAATCTTACAGCAGAGGGCCTGCAGACAGTTATAAGGCTGAGAGAGCTAGAGCAGGAAGCAGAGACCTGAATTAAAACTCTAAGAGTAGGGATAAAGCAAGAAAACAGATTGCAGATATAATTTTAAGACAGAATTAAGAGGGGTTAGTGACTTAGTGGATATTACTGATGAAGAAGAATCAAAAGGCAAGGAGGATAAAGTTGTCTCATTAATAAGAGACTATTAAGAGTTCAGAAATCAGGTTTTGGAATTTTTTTTTCTAAAGATGGAGGTTGAGAAGTAAGAGGGGATCCTGTTACAAGGAAGTCGACTTTGGTTAAATTGGGTTTGAGGTGCTTACGGGGACATTTGTTAGAGATGTCCAGAAGACACAAATACAGCCTAGAGTTACTAAAGGACGTCCAGGAAACAGGGACTAGGATAAAGGAATTATTGGTATTTTAGTGGTAGTTAAAGCCTAGGGGGGTGGGGGGGAGAGGAAAGGGATCATTAGTTTGGCTTTTGCAAGGGACAGAGTTGCATCTCCTTAGAACCGCATCAAATGAGTGGTCGGGGGCAGAAGGGACACCGAGGGGTCCAGCGCAATCCCCCTTTCTGGCAGCGCCCCAGCTCAACAAACGTCTAGCTGAGAAGCCGGCGTTCACTCCCACCCCACAGCTCCGCGGTATGGAAGCTCCCCTGCTAAGGTCCTAACTCCAGGACCCACATGGAGAGAACAGCCGAGGGACCCACAGGTACGAATCCCCAACCCAGTTCCAGGGGAGGCGGCGGGGCTGAACGAGAAGCCTGGCCAGGCCCGGGGACTCCATGCCCACGGGCTCCAGGAATCTGGCCGACCTCCCTGGGCCCTCAGCACCCAATTCCACTCACTTCTCGGAGGGTCCGGCCCAGCATAGTCTTCGTAGCCAGCCTGCCCCCACAGGGGCCAGGTGACAGGGAGGAAAAATAAAGGTCAACAACTGCTACGGGTAGTACATGGGCGCAGCCATCTTGGCTCGTCACTGGACCTCTCAACACCGAGTTCTGCCATTGGTCGGATTGCAGCCCGAGGAAATGATCCTTGCACACGATTGGTTGGCGCCGCAAGGCACCTCCCTTGGCGGCGGCGGCAATCGAGTGGAAAGGAGACTCCGGGCTGGGGTCGCGGTGGGAATTTGGAAGCGTCTGTTTCTCTGTGGCGTCGGGTTCGCGAGCGCAGTCCGTCGGTTCCGCCGAGTGCTTCCGAGACGGGGCAGAGTTCTAGAGGGTTTTGATTTTGGTCTGTGTTTAAGGGGTGGGGGTTGAGCGGGGGAGAGAAGGGACAAAATACTGATTGGAACGTTAATTGGAGCATTGCATATGCGAAGAGCCATCTAATTCCACATTCTTCTTCCTTCAGTTGCTCCATTAGGCTCACTTCATTTTTTGAATCCTCCGTCGGACAGTGTGTTTGGCCTAGTTCAGGGGTGACAGGTTGATCCGATCTCGGTGCATTTTAATCAGGGCAACTTAACCCCATGTTCGCGATGGAATTCCTGAAGACTTGTGTCCTTAGAAGAAAGGCGTGTGCTACTGTTTGCTTCTGGAGAAGCCACGTCACACAAAAGCTTTCCGTTAGGAAGATTAGTACCACCTCTCCGCGGAGCACGGTCATGCCCGCGTGGGTGATAGATAAATACGGGAAGAATGAAGTGCTTCGGTTTACTCAGAACATGATGATGCCCATCATTCACTATCCAAATGAAGTCATTATCAAAGTGCACGCTGCCAGTGTCAATCCTATAGATGTTAATATGAGAAGTAAGTTTGAAAGACATCCCTCGTTATATATATATATATATATATATATATATATATATATATATATATATATATATATATTTTTTTTTTTTTTTTTTTAATTTTTCTTAAGAGAATTTCGCCAGGGTTCAGTAATTTTAAAAGATCAATTGTTGTTTTACTACACTTCTTTGGTTAACACAAAAGAATAGTTTAAGTTTTTGACAGTATGTCAGCAGACAGTTCCAAAATGTGTGAAATTGCAATGCCCATGGTATACTTTAATCTTTTACAAAATGTTAAGTTGGAATTGCTTCCAGGATTCCTTAACATGTAAATTGGGACTTGAGAGTTGTGGCTACAGCTAACTGTGTGGTATCCTCTCCTGGGAGTTTTGTGATATTCTGAGGTCTATCACAGGTTTTAGAGGTATGGTTATGTTTTCACATCAGTTCAGAATTTGCACTTTTGCAATAACTTCTTTGCTCTCTCACTGTTCACAGCTTTCTGTATTTCTTCAGAAATTCCATCCTTGCCAGTATTTTCCTCATTTTTGCTGTTGCATTTGGCCTCAGCAGTTAAAATACACTTTTCTGTTATCCTAAGTGGGAACAATGTTACTGTATCTTAATTTCTTCTGGGATATTCTAACAAAGGTTGAAGAGCACTATTGATTCCTTAAATATATAGTATGTAATTATAGTGCTAAAAAACTTAATTACTATTTGTGAATTACTTTAACTTTGGAGAGTAATGACAAAAATATTGCTTATGGGAACTTATTCATGTCTTCTGAAAGAGTAAAAAAAAAACACACACACACACATTTGGGATGATTGATCAGTTAACCTCAGTGCTCTAAACAAGCTTCCACATGAGTTATAATTTTATCACATATCTGTGTTTTGAAGGCCTATATGTAGACCTACAGTTCTCATCAGATTGCCTCAATAACAATTGTGCAGGGTGGGGCCAAAGTAGGTTTACAATTGTATGTGAAATACAGTTTATTGTTGTATTATTTATTAATTATTGTGTTATTTTCTATACGAACTACTTAAACCTACTTTTGCCCCATCCTGTATGTGAACATAGAATAATTAATCTCCTTTAATTTCTTCCTTTTTGTTTCTAGGTGTTGTGTGATAGAGTAGAATAGCAATTCTCAAATTTTTTGTTCTTAAATTTCTTTACATGCATAATAATGATTTGGCTTTTGTTTATGTGAGTTTTAGCTATGAATATATCTCCCTTGTTAGATATTAGAATAAGATAACTGGATCTTCATATGTATTTCTGTATTCAGTCTGTCACAATGTATCCATGATTTTGGGTCAAGACTTAACTGTATTTTTGTTGTTCACTTTGACATCATAATTACTACCACTATGTGAACATATTGTTTTATTCCATTTACACTGGATGTGAAGATAAATTTTTATAGGATATGTCTTTAAGTGGTTGTTTTACATCCAATGATAAGTGTTTACACCCAATGATCAATGAGTATAAATTGTGAAGGTAGATTGTATACTCTATTAACTACTACCTGTTTCAGTACAGTACTTCACATATGTGGTTGACATACAGTCATTATTTTTATGGCATTTTACATTTTCACTCTAAGATTACAAACTAAAATTAGCAGTATTTTATCCATCAGCATATTTACATTTGTCTTCTTTTAGAACTGCTAACTTTCATTTCTTTGAATGCACATGCATAATTTGTATTGTGTACATTTCAATTTCAGCAGAATGGCTGGATCTGGACTTTTTTTTGCTGCTATTTAATAATAAAATAGTGTAACATTTTACTTTTATTTAGTATTCTTAAGACATCTTAGTTTATGATTTGAATGGGTAATATTTGCAAGTTACTCTATTTCCTGCTCATGGATTCTTTTTGGAGAATGTGCAATTGCTGTTGCAGAAGATATTTGAAATGGTAGCTTGGGAAATAAGTAATAACTAGAAGCTTGTAAACTATAGGAAGCAGTCTTCCTTGACAAGAAAGCAAAGACATGCTATTTTCTTTTGAAAGATGAAAGTAGGCTGTTTTCCTGGAGATGGCCATTATTGATGGACAGAAAATCATAACTTATTATAAATGGCTAAATAAATTTATTTCATTTAATAATATTTTATTCCCACCCTCCACTCCTTTGGTAACCATCAACTTTTGTTCTCCATATCTCAAGGTCCGTTCCTGTTTTGTTTATTCATTTGTATTTTTAGATTCCACATCTAAGTGAAATATATAGTATTTGCCTTTCTCTGTCTGAATTATTTCACTTAGCCTAATACCCTCAATCCATCTATGTTGTTGCAGAAGGCAAGGTTTCATTCTTCTTTCCTGCTGGATAATATTTCATTGTGTATATAATATATCTCACATCTTCATTATCTGTTCATCTGTTGATGGACAGCTAGGTTGCTTCCATATCTTGGACATTACTAGGAATGCTGCAGTGAATATAGGCTAATTTTGAAATAAAAAATACAGCCAATAAGATCATACCAACAGTCTGGTTTCTTGAGGTGGAATTAAAGCTTTGAAACTAATGACAGATTTATGATTTTCCAAATTATTTTAACTCTGACCCAATCAAACTAACTACCTTTAACAATGGGATGAAGCTCCTAAGGGCCCTCTACTAGTTACTATATCGATAGCTGCATTTTGGATTTGGGACTAGTTTAGCTAATACTTGTGAGCCGAGGCTAGTTAGTTGATGCACTGGCATATCACAGTGACCAAGAAAACTAATTCTGCTCTGCAGGTCTGTACCTCAGAGAGGACTGAAGCTTTTTTGCAGCTCTGAAATAGCAGCTAATATTTGATAGGGCTAAATGCCTATTTCTGTTGCTTAAACGACAAAGGAATTTCAGTCAATAATCGTTTAAATGTGTGTTAATGGTGGAAATGGAATGTAAGAGAGGAAAAGTAGAACATGATTTTTTATTACATCTGAAGCTTTTTTTTCTTTCTTTTCCTGATAGAGTGCACACTTAACTAGCTAGATGACAGATGTGTAATACTGGCATGATGGCTTAGATTTTCTGGGACTATCCCAACTTTCAAACACTTTCTCCCATATGTCTTTAATTACTAGGAAAACAGCTCTGCAAGCTACCCACCTGTTAGCATCTCTCCCTATATCTCCTACATTTCCTCCTACTTTATAAGTTAATTGTCATTGTTGTAAGCCCAGCCCTCCACTTGGGTTCTAGATTCAATCTCTTAGCTACTCTGGCCATTGTTTCAGCAGTTCTCTCCTGCAGCTTGAATCTTTTCTACTGGGTTATTCCCATTAGCATACAGACTGCTGCTTCTCCCCTCTTAAAGGGGATGGGGTGGGGGAAAGGAAGACACACTAAAAAAACCTCTTTCCATCTCAGTTGCATCTCTCACTGTCTCCTACTTCCCATTCTCTGTATCTCCTCCACACACAACAACTGCTCCTATCAAGGTCACCTAATGTGTACTACCCCTGAGAATGGGTCAAGGTAAAGGAGACATACAGACTGGTTTAGTGATTCTGGAATTTAAATTATGGTACATGACACTGGAAAGGTAAGCAGGGTGCTTATCTTGGAGAACTTTGCCACATGTTCTCAAAAAGATGTCAAGTAGGGAGACAGTTACAGATACTTTTGTGTCTTGGAAATATATATATAATTTATTATTTTAAAAAAAAATTGGTTTCAGAGAGGAAGGGGAGTGCGGGGAGAGAGAAACATCACTGATGAGGAAGAATCATTAATTGGCTGCCTCCAGCACAGCCCCTAATGGGGATCGAGCCTGTAACATAGACGTGCCCTGACTGGGAATTGAACCATGATCTCCTGGTTCATAGGTTGATCTCAACCTCTGAGCCACACCAGCTAGTCCATTTTATATATTAGGATTATTGTAGATAGAGTAGCCAACTTATTTGAACCAAAAATATGATCAGAATGTTTTCAGCTCTACTTAGCTGATATTTATGTAAATGTTCTTAAAAATAAATGGATATGTATAATAAAGCAATTAACTTGATTTAACGTATTAGAACAGGTGCAGATGAGTGGTCCTTTTTCACTGGCGAATCAATCTGTGGACTTAATCCACAGATGTTCTGCAAATACTTTTTGGGAGGTAGGGGCCATTACTTACAGACCAATGTCAGTGTCAAATATAACTATGCCTTATTTATTGGTTTATTAACGTCAAACAGCTTTAGTGTTTCTCTTCTTCACCAGACTGGGCTCCAACAACTTTGTTGTTTAAAAAGTTTATGAATGAGCTGAAACCAGTTTGGCTCAATGGATAGAGCATCGGCCTGCAGACTGAAAGGTCCCAGGTTCGATTCCGGTCAAGGGCATGTACATTGGTTGCAGGCACATTGCTGGTGGGAGGGTGTGCAGGAGGCAGCTGGTCAATGTTTCTCTCTCATCGATGTTTCTAGCTCTCTATCCCTCTCCCTTCCTCTCTGTAAAAAAAAATCAATAAAATATTTTTATAAAGTTTATGAATGAATAAATTAAGGAAACTATCTTCAAAGAACTAAAATTATAAGACAAAATACTGAAAGTGCTGAAGGCAGTTTCAAAATTGGATTTTAAACATTTTGAGCAATGGTAGCTTTAGTTTAACAAGTGATTATAATTTTCCAAGTAATTTTCTTTGAAAGGAACAGCATTCATTGTTTTGTTTCTTTTTTTATTGAATTTATTGGTGTGACATTGACTAATAAAATTATATTGGTTTCAGGTGTTCATTCTAAAAAAACGTCATCTGTATATTGTACTGTGTTCACCACCCCAAGTCAAGTCTCCTTTGATCACCATTTATCCCCCCTTTATCCATTTCTGCCTCCCACCCCACTTCGGCACTCACTGTTTTTATGATTTGTGTGGTGGCAAAACAAAATTTAAATTTTATTTACAATCTACATCCAGAGTATCTAGAATTATACCTGGCCTATACCCTTTAGGTAGTTTTTAAATCATCCCATTCTTTTGGAAGAAACAGATAAAACTGTATTTTATAGGTGGTTATGGAGCTGCAGCTTTAAATATGAAACGTGACCCTTTACATATTAAAATCAAAGGAGAAGAATTCCCCCTGACTCTGGGTCGGGATGTCTCAGGTGTGGTGATGGAATGTGGACTTGATGTGAAGTACTTCAAGCCTGGAGATGAGGTGAGTTATAGAATATTGCTATTCCTTTTCTAAGTATGCAAATTTTATTCTGCTTCTTTTGGAAATATATTCCATATCAGTGACCTTTCCTCTTCTTTCCAACAAATATATTGAGCTTTGGCTGGAACCCTTATTTTCTTGTCCCTGTTATCCTTGGTTCTGGCAGAATAGCTTGACTGCACTCAAGTGTTCTAAATCTAGTGCTTAAGAATTGAAGGACTTGCCGAAACCGGTTTGGCTCAGTGGTAGAGCGTCGGCCTGCGGACTGAAGGGTCCCAGGTTCGATTCCTGTCAAGGGCATGTACATTGGTTGCAGGCACATCCCCGGTAGGGGGTGTGCAAGAGGCAGCTGGTCGATGTTTCTCTCTCATCGATGTTTCTAGCTCTCTATCCCTCTCTCCTCCTCTCTGTAAAAAAATCAATAAAATATATATTTAAAAAAAAAAGAATTGCAGGACTTTTTGTATGATTGGGACTGTTTTTCTTTTTAATTGAAAGAATCTTTAAGTGACAATTTTCTACCTTCTAGGCTAGATGGTTTTAAAATAGCTGTAGTTTGGTATAATCACTTGTCACTTTGAATTTTTACACCAAGAAATTAAAGTGAGTTCATAATAATAGCTAACACTGATCATGTTGCTTTTCATAAAATAATTCTTTAATCTCTATGAAGTAAGTACAGTCAGGCCCACTTTACAGATGGGGAAACCAAACTATACAGCTACACAGAAGTTCCACAGCTGGTGAGTGGTAGAGCCAGGATTCATGCCCCAGAGATGTGCTCTTAGTGGTATTCTCAAGTATGCAGTCAGCAAATAAAGCGGGATTTACTGGCATCTGCTTCCAGTGTGGCTTGACATCAAGTGCAGAATCATACTAATACACTTTTATATCGTGTAAAAATAACTTTTGGTGGTTGTGTTGCTGACTTGTGCTTTTTTCATTGGGTGGAGTATGTACTGGGGACTACCCTACTGCTTAGCTTTGGTTAGAGATTTGTTTCTAATGAAGTTGTGTTTGTGTTTCAGGTCTGGGCTGCAGTTCCTCCCTGGAAACAAGGCACTCTCTCAGAGTTTGTTGTAGTCAGTGGGAATGAGGTAATTCACCAGTTCTGTGCTGAAATGCCATTAGAAAGTATAAACAAAGACTGACAAATATCTCTGAAATAATTGTGGGTTTTTTTCAGATCAGGTTCATGTTTAATGGATAGGTTTAAAAGAGCTGAGATAGAGAATAGGAATTTTTGAAAGATTAGAGAAGTATTTGATGTCATTTAATAACACTGCCTGCCAAAGTGGTATCTTTGTCTTGTGGAGCAGGGATTTGGAGTGAGATCTAGAAACCCTGCTGTGTTTCTTGGTTTTACCCAGTGTAAGTAGTGGAAACCAAATATACCAAATGGAGTGTACCGATTAATTATAAACAGAAGCATGGAAGTATCAAACTGTTTCAAGGAACCTTAAAAACAGGAATCTAATCAAAAACAGTCAGGAAGTCTGACAATTTGAACAGAGAGAAAGGGGTTAACATTGCAGAAATTGGCTACAGAGGGAGGGAAGAAGGGATATTACTAAGATTAGAAAAAGTCTGGAAATATTACCTTCCAGTAAATGGGAGTAAAGGAAACAACTGATCTAAAAAATAAAAATAAAAATAAAAGCAAGTTACAATGTGTTTATGAGGGCTCAAGGTTTATTTGGATTTATTTCTGTGTATAGTCAGGACTAGTGGGATTATTGAATTAAGCAGCTATATCTGATAATGTAGCCTATAAAACATTACTGAGCTTCTGACCCCAGGAGGGCAGGTTGAGTCATTTGGAGAATATTCCTTAGGGATAATCTTAAAGTAGGGTATGTAATAGATACTGAACCTGGTAGAATATTAGACTTATCTATGAGAACGGTTGGATTCCTTTGCAGGTAAATGTATTTAATTGCATTCATAAGTTTGTAAGTCATTGCTTATTTTTACTGTTATCTTCAAATCTAGGTCTCTCACAAGCCCAAATCACTCACTCATACTCAAGCTGCCTCTTTGCCATATGTGGCTCTCACAGCCTGGTCTGCCATAAACAAGGTTGGCGGCCTGAATGAAAAAAATTGCGCAGGAAAACGGTAAGTATCAATGGTGGCATCTAAACCTTCTCCCTTTCCTTTTGTAAGGTTTTTGGCGTAGATTATCAGAAGCATTAAAACTAGGATCACTTACATGAGCAGAGTTGTGCTGACATTTAAAACAATTTCCAATGAACTCTCTTTGTGTCATTTTGCACTTTCTTAACTTTATTCTATTGATTCTTAGTTCAATCAAATGCAAATTTAAAATTGAAATATATAGATGGACTTTAGGACTCTGAACCTTCCAAAATAAAGCAAAATCTTATGTGACTCTTGGGGAAGAAGATCTGTGGCTTTTACCAGATTCCTAAAAGGGTTAAGAGTCACTTTATATAATTTCTAAAGAAAGGAGCGGATATTTTTTTTCCCTACCTCTACTAGGAGTTGTTCTCTCATACTTGTAAATGTCTGTGAAAAGCAGATAGAAAGAGAATGCAAAACACTGCTGAATAATCTTGAGGTCTCTTAGTCTCAATGCTTGGTATCCTTTAGGTTAATTCTGGTGCTTCAAAGCCTTGAATGTAATGCTTGTTTAAGTTAGAAATATCTTCGATGAATTGAGTTCAGATTCAGATTCTGCTGTTTCTGAGTGGCCCACTTGGTCACTTCTCCTCCGTGAGTTTGTTTTTAATGGAATAATACAACTAGAATTAGTGGCACAGGTTGTGACACATGGGAGGCATTCAATAAATAGTGGCCACTATTATTAACAATGAGATTATATTCTTTGAATTTTAGAAAGTTGGTATCAAAGGGAAAACTAGGATCTAAGAACCGTTTAGTGGTTGTGATGAGGGAGAGAGCTATAGGTCAAATTTCAATAAATTACAATAACTTAGTTTTTGATTGCTAAGAATTGTGCAGATAAAATAACTGAAGTCTGTGCCATTTCATACTCTTGTTGTTGTGAAACATTGCACTTTACATTTAATGTGCTGAGTTACAGAGCATTGGATTTAATGAAAGCTGTATTCCTGAAAGCAGCATGATGAAGGCTATTCATCTAATGAGGTGCTACCCTTTGTCGTAGAATTCAAAGCAAATATTTATTCTAAAGGTCAACCATGTTTATTTTTTAAGCTTCGAGGTTTATCTTTCTTGAAGTTGCCATTTTGGCTTAACACTTTGTTTAAATTACATTAGTTTGACCACATAGATTTTTCTAATGACTTGTCGCAGTTAATAACCTTGCAAAAATCTTATTCAAGATTTTTAGACCTTTATTTTTGTTATTGTAGGCTCTGCATTGACACTGATGTTTTATTGCTTTGTTTTTCCTTAAAAGCATTATACTTTTTATGCCCACATCACTATGTGGTTAAAGATCTGTCATTCCTTTCACCATTTCAGGGCACTCCAGGCATACTTTTATTTAGTACCCCGAAGAAAACAATTTAGAAACAGATCTAGCTCTCTCTTCTCAGATACACAGATGTATGCCCCCACTTTATTGTTGGGTTTTTGAGTAATTCTGTGTAATCTTTTATTTGAACAATAATGGTTTGGAACTGGGGAAGTAGAGCCTTGACTTCTATTTTCTGCTGCTAACTAATCAGGCAACAATATGCATGCTATCTATGGTCTCTTCACACTTTCCTCCAAGGTACTGAATGTAGGAAAGTGTAAGTGTTAGGAGAGCTGTGAGAAGTGGAAAGTTTTATCCCCTATAAGGTGATTTTATATTATATTGCGTTGGGTCTGTTCACTGATTTAGTCCAGTTAACCAAACTGGAGTGTATCCATTGTGAAGAGCCTCACTAGATCACGTCATAGACTTCTGTCACATTCCCACGTGTTTGGTGACCCAGGATGCCTTTGTTCCAAATGGCAGTGAGAGTTTGGCCCTGGTGCTCTAAGAAATTTTAGTTTACAGAAATTACTACACATGGGTGGTAATAATGGCCTACCTCTCCAACCTCTTATTTGTGAGAAACACATGAGAGAGTTAATTAAGGCCCTTAAAATGCCGTGAAAAATACTCTACATGAAGAAATTACTACCAGAGTGGAATTTTACTATACCTAAACCCAGAGGTTGCAGTGTCCAAAGTGGCCTGTCTAAGCAATAATTCTTTTTCTATTAGCTACCGGCATTAAGACACTCTTTAGTCTGCACAAAGCAGGTCTGTGTTTGTTATTAAGGACTTAAAGTCTGTTTTTATTTTCATTATTATTTTTTATTGAATTTATTAGGGTGACATTGGTTAATAAAATTATATAGGTTTCAGGAGTACAATTCTGTAATACATTATCTGTATATTTTATTATGTGTAAAGTCTGTTTTTCTAACCAGTTAATTAAAAAACAAAATCCAGCAATGATAAAAATACCCATTAGCACCTTGGGATTATTGACAAACAGCATTTTGAAATTAAGACAATGCTTTCTAAGAGTTTGAAGGTGTTTTACCTTTTCCTTTTAGTTATATAATTTTTGCAAAACCTGAGCATCAGTGAACCAAGGGGATAACCTAATATTAATGTCATATAAAATGTTATTTTTGCCCACATTTTGTTATCACTAGAAAATTTCAGGTGAAATGATTTCCTTCTTACCTGCCCATCATCATTTCTTCATAATTTATTCAATAGGAACACATAGATAACTTAGAGAACTTAAAATGAATACAATTTTTTTTAAAGTGCTAACACTAGATATATTTTTTTAAATATATTTTTATTGATTTCAGAGAGGAAGGGAGAGGGGGAGAGAGATGGAAACATCAGTGAGAGAGAATCTTTGATCTGCTGCCTCCTGCACACCCCCTACTGGGGATCTAGCCCACAACCTGGGCATGCACCCTTGACCAGAATTGAACTTGGGACCCTTCAGTCTGCTGATGTTCTAGCCACTGAACCAAACCAGCTAGGGCCTTTTCAGTTCTTGTTATTTGAACTCTGAAGTATCTGGCACCATTGACCACTTAATACTCACCTTTCCAATGGTTTCAGGGACACCAGGCTCCTATAATTTTTTTCTCACCTTTGTGACTAGTTCTTGTCATTTTTAAAGCCTATTTTCCCTCTTTCTTCCTGTTACTCTTTTCCTTGTGTCCCACTTCATCATTTCTATTTCCCAGGATTATCTCATTTACTCTCAGTTCTATATATTTTGGTAACTTGCAGATTTATGTTTATAACCCCAACTTCTCTACCAGTGTCCCCTTTGTATCTGAAACTGAACTTGAGCAAAACAAGACTAGCTTATCACCCTGCCTTCCTGTAGATTCCTAATGTCAGTTAACTGTGATTTACCTTGAGCCAACATCTGGTAATCATTTACAAATCCTGCTCTTTTCCATTCTACTGTACAACTCTTTATGTTCATGTCACGTAAAATTTAAGATTGTCAAATTTGGAAAAACATCTTTAAAATTTCTTTAATCTATGAGCTACAGATTTTGAGGCATTTGAAGTTTTGTCCTGCAGTGAATAAACCTAACATACCTTGGCATTTTAACTGACAACCCTCATAACTTGTTGATGTCTTCCCTTTAGTGGTGTCAAGTGGCAAAAGTAATACAATTTAGTAACTAGTTTGATGTTCTTTATTCAAGGAAAGGCAGTCCATGCATTGGGGGAAGTCAGTGCTTCACAAGGAGTGGGGCACTCTTCCCCAGGAATTTTGGACAAGAACATGTTTTATAGAAGTTAGAAAAGCCAACATGGAAACAGGGAGTGATTGGTGAGGAGGTCAGTGATTGGTGAGGCTAAAGTGTCCTACTTTCTAGGATAGGGTAAGCTAGTGTAAGCTGAATTGGAGGATTGTGATTACTTTTATGTTTCCTTGGCAGCGATGCATTTCCCAAAAATGCAAGCTGACTTAGGTTTAGATTTGTGATGTCTTTTAATTGTAAGGACTTTCTACAGACTTCTGGTTCTGTACATCTCAAACCTTGTTTGACCACGTCCTTTCTCATTGCTTTCATAATCTAGTGCTAGGTACAATGGTCCTCAATCGTATCATAATAAAATTTCATAATGCCTTATTATATTGTCATCTTTTACAGGTCCTCAGCCAGAAACTTCAAAGAGTAGAGGAAAAAGATATTTTCCCTCTCCTACATAGCTGATGAAGCTTAAGCTTTGGGCCCTGAGAGGAGCCCAGCAATATATTTGTGTGGACATATTAGCGGGAAGTAGGAATATTCCTAGAAGCCATTATGCAGAGAAAGAGACTTTCCTCTACCCTTCTAGGTTCTTTTGGCTGATCTGCTACACAAATTGACATGGGACTGATTAACAAGAGAAAATAATCAAGTTGAATTTTATACACACACACACACACACACACACACACACACACACACACACACAGTAACTCCATATACATGAGAGGGTCCAAGACTCCACATACATGAGAGGTTCAGAGACAGAAAGTTAAAATGAGCAATAAAAGGCATTCTGAGCTAGGAATGAGGTAAGTCACCTTAGGACTTCTGAGGGGAGGAAGGTCATTCAGATATTCAGTAATTATTAGAAGTTTACCCTGCTTTAGAGATAGGTCATAAACAGTTATTTCTGGTGATAACAGTTAGAATGGGCAAGAGCCCTAATTTTAAGTTCTTTAAGGGGGAGATAAAATTTTTTCTTAAGATTAAAGTGTCTTGGTTGCTTTCAGCACAAAAAAAGTCCACATACCAAAATAGCACACCTTGGGGAGTCTGTTCTGTATCCTTACCACATTCTTATATTAAGATAGCCTATAACAATTTTATTCAGAAATTACAATGAACAATCAGTATTTCCCATTAAACCCAAAGCAAATATGTTTTTAAATCAACTTTCCTTCAGCCCAGTCTAGTCTCATCTGAGAAAAGGGGAAGTATAATATACTGTAGGAGTGAAGAGACAGAACTTTTAACTGATTGTGATTAGTAGGGGAGGAAAAATCATTTTCACTCTACCCTTCTGAGTTTTCTGCAGAGAGCCCTAGAACAAAAGATTGACAAGAGGAAAACCAATAGAAGTTAATGGGCATGTATACCTCACGTATACA